TATTCAATATAATTATGAAAAACAATTACCTGCTGTGATAAATTGCAAATGTTAAGCCATCGAGTAAGTATAACGAAATTATGAATAAACGAATTTGAATAGGCCTATGCGTAAAGGTCACTCCTCCTTCCATCACCTCTTTTTTCGCATCTAAATTTAAAAGTATTTTAAAATTTAAAAATAATTAAACATAGCATGTAGTACAAAATACATAATTATGTAGGTAGTCGTGTTTCGTATAGGTGCAAATCGTATTATAAAATATTACTAGGGTCGGAAGTTATCGGAGCTAAAAAAGACAAAATATGTATGTAAATATACCAAAAAAATATTCTAAAATATGCTTGAAAAAATATTAAACAAGCAAAAAATTGTTCAGTTTATTATTCAAAAACACAATGTCATTATTAATATGCATAAAAAGATAAAGATTAAATACGAATCGCATCGTTGTCTTTAAATTAATAATAGACTGCTATTATTAATTTAATGAGATAGTAAGAAATACCAATAAATAAATAACTACTTTAAATAATATCGAGTTTTAAATTTAATATTATTTAAAACAAATTGGTTAAGAAAGAAAAAAAAAAATTTGTTTAGAAAATATTAAATATGCAAACAAATATGCGAAAATCGATGAAATATGCATTTTCTCTTTAAAATTAACGAAAAATGCAAAATATCCATTTTAAATGTTAAATTTTTAAACTCTCCATGGTATAGAAAGTATTTCTAGCTTGATTTGTTATAAATTCAGTGCATATAGAAAAATTTGAAACTCCTATAACTTCCGAGCCCTATTTCAAATCGGCGACGTCGGACAGTAACTAATCAGTCACTTTGAAATTACTTTTTCTCCGCCGTCATTGATAAATCATGACTTATCAGCAGATAACTCAACGAATTAATTTTTTTTTTATCGATCTTACATTAATTTCAAATTACCTACTAGAGTCTACGCCTTTTCAAAATAATCATTAATTTTGAAATATATTCAAATAGTAATTGATATAAAAATTGTCTTTCATTGTATCACTTATCATATAATGCATATTTATTATATGATAATAATTGGTAATTTAAGATATCATCAGTTATCCAGTAAAATTTTGTTTAAAAACAAAGATTTCAAAACTGTGACAAAAAACTGTTGTTTAAATACTTTAAAATGTATTCAATTTGTTTACCATCTACTATACTGCCAATTCTACAAGAGAGTTCCTATAAAGTTTTTTTTTTTTATTAAAGCAATAATTCTAGTAGAAAAGTTAATTACAGACACCAAATAAAGTTAAATTAAAATATATATATTAACGAGATATTTCTGCGTAGCCAACGATATTCTCTTTAGACCCTAAAATATTAAATATATTTATAAAAAACAAAATTTTAATTAGTATATCGGTACTAATTTAACTCTGTTGTTTATTTTTTGTATTTTTGAGTTTAACTGTTACTAAAATAAATGAAAATAACTGTAACTAGTTCAGTTAGCAAATTTTAGTTATTATCTCTCAGTTTTGACAAAGGGTAATGAGAACCATTATATAAATTAACAGTTAAGTACCTACTTAAGTAGATTGGTAGTGTTGGTACAATGGTACATATTACAAAACTATTTACTTTATTGGTTTTGTTTTTGTTTCATTAAAACTTAAAAAAAAAAAAACAACACTGAAAATGTGTAGGTACATCAAACAATGGATTTCTATTGCTTGGCGTACACGGACGGTATAAACGATTATTATTTTTAAGACATATTATCATATTAGTAGGCAAATTTGATGGAAGCGTTTTGAATGATAATGCAATTTTTCAATGTTAATACTGAAGGTGTAATTAACACATTAACAATGTGGAAGTAGGCATATTCAATATTATAATATAATATACATTATAGTGACCATATAGTACATAACCATCAAATAAGATACATAGGTAGTCATTTAGGCGTTAAGAAAGAAACGAAAGTACCCATAACCATATTCAGCCAAAATAAGTAATAAACGGACTTACTACCTATTACATCATATTGTATATTTTGTTTCATTTTTGGAAAATAGGAGGTCTTTGACCTGGAAAAAATAAATAAATATTTACTTACAAGTTATACAGGGTGTCCTACAGTGTTATCGTTATGATAATAACTGTCAAATTCTAACTATGTCAATCTATTCATTTTGCTAACATTTTTTTTCTTCAATAGGGTTATATACGAGGGAGACACATACCTATGTGAAAAAAAATTAAATTTTTATTTTGATCACTAAATTATTGAAAAAAATAAATAACTTTTTATATTTCCACTTTTTGAAATTTTTAAAATAATTATTTTGTAAAATATATTATTTTAAAAATTTTAATATATCATATATTCATAAGTCATAACAAACAGTTTATCATAGTTATAGTGGCTTTAATGTACAGAAAGTAGGCGTGAAAACAATTAATATCCAATAGGAGATAAGGAATTACCATGCTGATTGTGAATCCTTATCGCGTAACCTATTATACTATTGAAATTAATTGTTTTCAGCCTATTTTCTAGAATTTTCTAACAGTTATTACTTAGAAACTATTAATGGGATTTGAATATATGTTACATCAACATTTTTAGAACGATTTTTTTTTCAAAATGGCCATTTTTAAATTTTAAAGAAGGGAAAAAATAAAAAAGTTATTTTTTCAGTGATCAAGGGATGGAAATAAAAATTTAATTTTTCTTTACATATGTGTCCTTCGCATAAAACTCGATTGAAAAAAAAAATAATAATATTGATAGAATTATTAGCATAAAGATAACACTGTAGGACTCCCTATATAATAAATGTTAATAATAATAGGTTTATATTTCATACATTTCATACTGTTCCCGAAATTGTTGGAGTATTAGCATATAATAAATGCCGTTTAATTTTAAATTTAGAATTACAGTATTAAAAAAATTATAATAACAAATAATGAAGATTCTTCTCATATTGCTGTTGTTTGTTAGTGTGGATTATTCAGTCGAAAAAAATGATAAGTAACAACTTTTTTATTAGTATCTGTGAACAACTTTTCTATCAGAAATCTTCCTCCGGTCATCCTAAAAATTAATTTTTTTGTGAAGTTGGTACATTGGAGATCATTTTTGGTTTTCTTAACAATTGGAAAAAAGGTAGAAAAAACTTAAGAAATACTTCCAATACATTTATCTTTGTACGTTAACACACTAATAAAACACTTATCCCCAAACCCCGTTCTTGATAATTTTTAAGTTTATAAATTAATAACGCTAATCAGTGTTGAATATTCTCGAATTTCGACTTATACGCGTGTTGTTGTTATTGTTTATTTTGTATATTTTATTATTTTATGATACGTATTATGATAACATTACAATTTACTAATAAGTATATTATATTATATAATTATTAACATGATAGTTATTTTAAACATTAAGTTGAATAATTATGATAGAGTATTTTTTGTTTGTTTTTTTTTTTTACATCATTAACATGGCTTTATATATATAAATATTAACAGAAAATTTGTTTCTTTCACTATTCTATATCTGCAAGATTACACCGCAAGCGCCATAAAATGTATACAAGGTTTAATTGAAAAAAAAAAAATAATTATCGGATTATTATTCCCATATTACAAATAACTAATGTTATGTTATTATTTTATTAACAATGTTTTTTCGTGGTCGAGTCACTAGAAAACAAATTGCGTCGTTGTTTTATTGTTTTTGGAATTTTCAAACGAGATCAAACTGACCGCCATTTTCGATTTTTCCAAACGTTTTTTAACGAATTGGTCTAAATTGTTGATGTAAAAATTTGTATTAAAACAATACTAAAACATGTAAGCTACAATTATGCCTAATTCATTACAATTTGAAAATGCAATTTTTATTTTTTAAACAAAATTTACTTAGTGATCCAAAATTAATTTTGGCTAAGTGAATTTTCAATTGGGCAACCATATTACATTCTTAGAATCAGTGAAATTTTTTTAAATTAATCTAGATCAGCTAATAACTTAATGTGAAACATGTTAGATTTTATGCCTATTTGTTTGTAAAATAAACTCGTTTTGCATATCGAAATGCCAGTCCAGCATAGGCTAATCTCCACTATATTATTCACTGGTAAAGCCTTTAAGAGAGAATATCCTTGAAACAGCAACGTTTATAATAATATTGTTATGTCTAATTTAAAAAATGTCTTATATTATTGCAGTCTAATATTTTAATGTCCAGTTAAAAATGTTTTCTATATTATCTAATACGGTTTAGTAATAAATAACTATGTCATTTTACAATCGGTAAAATTTAAAACAATAAATTAATTTTAGTTATATCATATATAATACTAGCTATCCCACCCGACGTTGCTCGTGCCAAACATATGTGTAATGAAAACGTTTTCTCCCTGGATTTTTCGTTTTAATCCCCATCAAAACACTGCAGTGAATCGTTATTGCTCTTAAATATTTAAAAATATCTTTTTTTTTCATTTAAATTTCAAACTTATATGAATTAGTTATATAGTTGCTAAGCAATGAAAAATACCTATAAATTACTATTTTGTATACAGCCCAAACTACTGCAGGTTAGCTCTATTACTTCTATTGGTCAGATCAGAGCCTTTAATAGTTCTCCAGACAATGCGGATCATTTTGCGAAAAACCGCGTAAAATCTGTCTATATTTTGATCATGCGTTTGCGAATGATTGTTGCTAGATAAGCGCATCTTCCTGGCACTATTTGCGGAACGATCAAGGTTTGACTTTCTCTTCATGGGCATTATGCGATAAATAAAAAAAATAACCAAGAAAAAAAAAAGCGCGGCCGTTTACAGCAACAAATAAAAATTGTAATACGTCGAAAACGTAATTCACTGTAGACGTTGTAATACGATCGTAAACTGTATGATAATGACATAGATAATGAAGATAGTAGACCTGATTTTTAATCCGTATCTAAACACGGTACAACCGGGTACCTTATGTTGGCTAGTCAAGAGACCCGGAGACACCAGAGCAAGCCCCGGGTGCGTGACAACGCACCAGAGCGTGGTCCCACCAACCAATACCCAATTCACTTACCGTCTGCTTACGGGTTTAGTCGCCGTTGGGTGGGTATCCCACTATCCAACGAAACTCATGAGCCCGTTCGAATCCAACCGCAAGGCACCGACTACAGCACGAAACCGCGGCCGACAACCGGGCCTCCGTTCGGCGCCAAGAGTGGGTCGACGCCGGGGCTCCGAAGACCACCCGAAATATTTTTAATTATTTTAGTTGTCATAACTACCGTCGATATTTCGGAAGCAGAAAATATTTAGTAGATCTGTTGTCGTTGAAAGAAACATTAAAATCGTTTTAGGCTGCATTACTGCGGAGAGTTCAATGAGTTTCAATGACGACCACAATGGAAACTAGTTGATGAGGCCTGGTTTCTGTTTTACAGACAAGATATCATAGGGCAGGAGAATTTTTTTGGTCGGCGGGAGGGTGGAAAATGAAATTAGTGATTCAAGGTAAAAATACTATGCACCGCGACAGATTGAACATATCACAGGTCCTCTCTAAACGTAACGATTATAATAAATCATTGCAAACAAAACCTATTTCGAGTGGTGTCCTTAAACTGCGGGTATAATTAATTTTAAATTCGATTTTTTTTCTTAACCAAGGGAACCAACGCGGAAATAAACAATGAATATAAAACAATTGGAAAAGGCCGAAATTCAAGTGTATACTCACCATAGAGACATCGAGGTTTATTTCGATTGTGGGCAAAACATTAATACAATTTGAACAATATGATATGATGTTTTATTGAAAATATCTCACGATAACTTTCCAATATCAAATCAATCTAAAATTGCAATACTAGTGAACATTAACATTTTAAAATCGTATTTTATTGCGTATTGTCTATAATATGGAAATAACATTATTCCTCCGAATTATATCTATTCAAAATATCTATTTGTATAAGACGCATATCAATAATCGTTATCGAAATCGGTTTCTGATGGATCAATTTGGCTAATAATCGTCTTTATACGACTGTTTCGACTAAATATCCATGTATTTTTATAATAATAATAATAATTGATCACAGTCAATAAACGCGTGTCAAAAACAATGATTACTCATCGCATTCAATGTTAAATATTATGCCTCGGAACAATCGCAATTATTAATAACATTTTATTTTACGAGTATGATCATTATGTTAATTGTTCTTAGAATGCGTATAACATCTTTGGATTAAAAAAAAAAAAAAAAATTAATAAATTAATTAATTAAAATAGCTTTCTTGTTAACAATTTAGTGTGTTGCTGATAACTCGCCGTCGTCATTGTAAGCAAAAATGTTTGGAAATCACTGCTTTCAATGTAATAGTAAATTAAAACGTACGTATACTAAATATCAATTCTTGTAATATACCCGCGCCCGGCGTTGCCCGGGCTAATTTTTTATTCTTTTCATTCTTATTTCCGTATGTTGCTTCCAATATCAGTATATTGAACTAGAAAAAATAAGTGAAAAGTGGGTAGTTCGCGGACTAAAAGTGTTTTAGTGTATCATACATTTTTCCATTCGTGTTACTATATAGATACCTGCACAATACAGGGATTAAACTATATATCTACTATTAATAACCCTAAAATTATAAGGACATAATAGTATTGTAGTGTTGTTACTGTGACAAAAAATACAAAGATTCAGATGTGACGTTTTACGTGTTTTCACTTTTCACTTAGCCAACCTGTACAGCGCATAGAATTTTGTTTTTTTTTTCATCCATGTTACCAAGGTAGCCTATTCCTATTTCAAGCCAATAATATTATACCGGCAGAGTGTCAGATAGACACTTTATTTTAAGTTGTTATAGTTATTATGGCATTTTCATATCTGTTTTTTTTTTTTAATTTAAATTTTTTTTCGTTTCATCCGTGTTACTACGGTAATCCATAGTTCAACAAAAATAATTTAATTTTCGCTCCAAATATACCTAAAAACCTTTCATCTCCTATTTCATATCTTCTTCAAGTTTTATTTTCGCGACTAAAAGTTTTTTCTCCAAGGTCACATTTATCTCTATACCAAAATTCGTCAAAATCCTTTCAGTAGTTTTTTCGTGAAAGAGTAACATCAATCCATCCATATCTCCTCACAAACTTTCACATTTATAATATTAGTAAGATAACAACAACTTATTTATATTTGACGTTTCCGACAAGAGAATAACAAAACCGTAGTTACATTATTTATTAAAATAAAAATTATACAACTACAAATTATAGAATATTTCAAAGAATTTACAATTTTATATTGGTCAAAATTAGCACTTAGGGTAGTGAATTTCGCGCTATTTTCCTAGTAAAGAGCGCGCTACTATACCAATCACTGCCTATAGTAGTTCTTATCGACTTTCACGGTTTTAATACTATTCAGTGTCCATCATCCGTCAAAAAATTTCTTTGCTCGAAGGTCGACAAAAATAAATTTAAAACGTTTTTAATAATATATAACATCATCGGAGACTCAACGATAACGGCATATATTCGAATGGAGTGGTGAGCCGATGGGACTTTTTTTTTCTCGATAGGTGCCCTATAAAAGCGATAATGCGATATTCTTTGCTACTGGTATAAAACTTATAGTCGATATGCGAGCTGATCAGTGACGCCGAATATATATATATTAGGTGTGACGACCGCCACACCTTATTTAAGGGTTGGGTATACTCCTTAGAATTGATAGTTTAGTATAAAACATTGTGCATTTTACAATAAATATAAAGAGTAGTAGACGTAGGTAATATTCAGTATTCTAAATAACGCAAACTAGTCTATTCCTAGACTATCGTCGAGCGTGTACTGTGCGTTTGCATTAGTAAAGACAAAGAACCCCTAGTTTAACTATAACTATACCTATAACCACTCAATTAATAGTCTTACGATAAATAACCAATAGTACCTAATACATTTCTGAATCTATAACAGCGGCTACAGATAAAAACAAATAATAAAAAAATATAAGTCAAAGAGCTGACACTGGGGACGGGTGTGGCTACTGTTGTAGGTGAGTAGTTGGGAGAGTAGGATATATAAAGTTATTTATTTGTACCCGTAGCCAACGATAAACCATTGCTAACGAGAAACGATTCGGAGAGAAATTCGATTAAACATGATTTGAAAGACCGTAATAATTTAAATTTTCGTCAAAATATGATTTTAAAACTCTTATGAAAAAAAAACATACCACATTACACTCAATTTATTTTTTAACCACTGAGTATCACTTATAATTGACTTTCTGTCAAATTTTCCAGTTTTTCTATTTGGTCTAACCATTTTATCAAAAGAGTACTTACCGAATAAATATTACGTAAAAAACTCACGAAATTATAATGTTTATAAATAGCTCATAAATGGCCCCAATATTTTCGCGATATCATCGGCCGATCAGTGCTGAATCCAAGTATACAATAGTGGGAAAATGTCCACCCTCTGAAATTTTATTCACCCATCTCCCCCTGACTAACACACTGCTAACAAAATGTGTTCATTAAGTATGTACAATACCTGTTACATTTTACACAGAAATGACCGATGAATAAGGTGAACACTCTCCCAGAAAAATTGTCTGAATTCAACACATGCGGCCGATACGATACTCTTTGAATAAAATATTTACCAATAGGGGACTATCGTACCAATTAAAGCGTGTAACTAAATGTTTAAACGATTTACTACGAACGTTTATTTCAGATTAGGCGATCGAAAAATAAATCTTATGAAATGGAAAATACTTGTGTTTAGAATTCGTGTTTTTATTTTATTTTTTCAATTTCGCGAACACCGTCCGGTTCTTTAACACGTTGTTGTAGTTTTCCTACCCGACCATGGAAAAATAATATTACGATTTTAATACAATGTAGGTTGTCTAGGCGGTATTATACTATAGGTATATTATAATGTAAATCGTAGTCCTCGAAATAAGAAAAAAAAAAAAATTTAACATGGATATATTACGCTGAGTTTGCCGAAAATCGAATAGTCATCTTCAATGTAACATAATTTTGCTAATTGTAATATTCATTCGGATAGTTTCAGTTGTACTCTACACAACGGTGATGATACAGAATACGTTAATATAATTATTGTGTACTACGAAAAAATGAAAGAAAAAAAAAATAATGGTAATAAGATAATGTTTTTGTTTTTTTTTTTTTTTTCGGTACTTCCATTAGTTTTCGAGTTTTATTTTCCGTTTTGTATTTTTTTTTTAATATTATTTATTTTTCGCTTTCGTTTGCATATAGCGTGCATAAAACCGATTTATTAATATTTACACAAAGTTAAAAACTTAGTTGAATGGCTTTTCGTGGCAAGTTTTTCGATACAAACAAAAATGTACACGCATAGTAGTTTTGATTGAAAAATGTGAGCAATCGAAGGTTAATATTATATAACAAAATAATATCTGCGAGTACCAGAGCTCCGTCACTAGAGTCGAATTTCCTATCGTCTATTTTGTATTATAGACAATAGTGGGTAATTGGGAAAATCTAAAACAAAAAGACGTAAACTGAAAATGGACAGTTAATTTACGGCGTACGATTTTATTATTTCAAATGTCTACGGTTTATGTTTTCTATTAGAAATCTTGCTCCGATCGAAAAACGACGCTGTATGCTTAAACCAATAGATCTCTCGCTCCGCTACGAATCTGAAACGATAATTGGTTTTTTTCAGACGGTAGTGGTACTGTAACTTGTTGTTTTCGTATAATATTATTATACTAGTCGCGGCTTTAGAGACCAAGGTGGTTAGGTACTATAATAATTGGTTTTACGTCTAACCTAACTGGCCTATACCGTGGCCAGCCGCGGGGCACACGAGAGTTCTTATCAAAATATCGTCAGCAGTTACGAAGTTTGTTTTTCCTCGGTGGCGGACGATATGAAAAAAGCGAGTTACTATGTGGCATAACGCTTCCGGTGGAGGTCAGGGGTTGAACTATTCGACCGATCCCGTTTGAATTGCTTCGGGTCCTGCTTTTCGGTACGAACTCGGTACACGCTAGTTAAATAAAGCTACGAGCGTATTTATACGCTCACCAACAGAGAAATTGACTCTCTCGTATATACCGAGTGTGAAAATAGCACAATCAAAGAGGGCTTTAGTGTGATCTTACAGGAGAGGTAAAGCTCCTAAATATATATATATGGCCTTGTATGACTGTGGAACTTGTCAAATCAATACAGTAGAGAGTAAACAAGAGATTTTTGGAACGTGGTGTTTTAGATTAAATGAACTGAAAA